TCATTATCCCTTTTGTTTTTCTGACCAATAATTCAGCTTTTTTTCTTTTGGTAAATAATATTTGATTGTATGTTAAGTTAGATTCTCTCTCTCTCTCTCTCCTTTCTCCTAGAATATAAATATATATGATATAAATTTGTGTTAACTTATATAAATTTAGTCCTAGTGTTCTTTAGCATTTGTAATATTTATTTAGTTGTGAATTTTAAAAAAATTCAATTATGTTGGGTCTACTGCAGCCAACGGAATTATATTTGACAAAATAGGTTGATGATCAGAACTTTAAAAAAAATTTCAATAATGCTCTGCGTGGTTAAGTTTTGAATTATATATGCTTTTTACTATTTAGTTTTATGTTAATGTTGGGTTTAAAATGTTTTTTTTCCCTCAGTATTATAATTCAAACATGGATTTTTTAATGAGTTGAATTACATGTTTAGGCTACTAATTACTATCTACTCGAAACTTAAATAAATTTAATTTGCAATATTTTTTTTGTCAACATCAACATAGTTCAACAATAATTGGCAATAAAAGAACTTCTTGATGAGAATCTGAGATGATGAACATATAAGAATCACCGTTATTAACGTAACTAAAATCACTCTCTAACTATATAAACGTTTCCAAATAAAATAATATATATCAAGTTGCAAAATTAATCAGGTCGATAATATCATTTCCACCAAAGATAACTTTGGATTCTTTTTTTTCTTTTTTTTTTTGTGTGTGTGTGGCAAGATGCAATAATGCAAGGTTAGAAAAATGAAGAAAGGGAGCTGTTTGGAAAAATAATTATCACACCGTATCTATATATATATTGAAAAGGGCATTATAAGCTGCAAATATTGTAAAGTTATATATATTAATTTGAGACTATGACTTTTCTTTTACATATTCATTTCACCTGGATCGTTAATGAAGTTTTTGGAAGTGTTTCTCAAGAAAATTTTGGAGGGCCAACATCCAAACAAATGGAAAACTTGTACGAGTTTTTTCCTTTCTCGAGAAACAAACACTTAGATTGTGATAGGAATTTCTCCATATATAAAGATCTATAATTTGTATGCATTCATGGAATGAGATAATAAGGATCACACTTATTGATCTCCTTCTAAGTTTGGGATGATTTTTTTGGCTAAAATCCACGTCATATTTGCCACCTTTGTTATTTTGTTTCGTTTGGRGAAGTTTTAGAGAAAGATGACAATAACCGAGAAAAATAAATTATTTGTTGGAACGAGGTAATGAGTGGGAATTCGAAAATCGAATCTCACTAGAAGTTTATAATTATATACCTTTAATAGTAGAGACGTAATTAAATTTACTTTGAGCGTAAGTTAAGATTCAAAAACTAGCTTCATCGTTGAAAAATAGTACTAACTCTCTCTACATTGAGTTTTTCCTAATTTTATACATTTTCACTAACAAGGGAGACTAAATAGAAACAAAGCCCACAACTAAGTGGAAGACTGAACCTTTGGTGTTCCTCCAGTCAAGAATTGGAGCGATCTCCGAGAAATCAGAATAAGATGATCAAACCATTTTTTCTTATCCTATTTTCTGTCTCTTCCTTTATGCATTTATCTCTTTTGATTGTCAATGTATTTTAATAATGTACCGAATACTTGCTAATTAATTACTCATGAGCACTTAAAGTTTCATCCAGAAAAAGCTGTATAAAGAATGTGCACGTTAAATTAGATAGTCACAAATCAAAGTGGTGTGCTAATTTTATTTTTGTTAATGATTTAGTGAGGTATCAAGTGTTCCTAAGATAGTATCTCTATCTGGTAAATTTTATTTGAGTAAAACTTATGTATAATTTATTTGAGTATACTTAACCTTAAAAAATTTGCAAGTCAAAAAAATAAAATTTTTGAGTGTTATATAATGATTCTGTAATTCAATTTCAATAATATTAGTACTCAATAAAAATTTGATTGAAATTTTGTATTACTCTTAAAGAGTGAATTTTATGAACAGAAATTAAAAAAGTTATTTATAAAAAAATAATATATTTAGAATAATATTTAGATGTGTACGGGTCAACATCCATCTACTGCAGTTAAAATTGGTCAATTTTGACTAGAGAGAAATGCAGAAACAACATTTCAAAAAAAAAAAAAAAAAGTTAAATTCTCCAGGGTGA